GGGCGACCAGACCAATAGATCGTTGGCTCGATTTGGTCCGGATAGTTATTCACAAGTGTCCTCCAAATCTTGGTCATCTTTAAAGGGGTGTTTGCCCACCTCAAACCTTCAGGTCGCTGATTATATTGGTGGTGCCTCAGAGAAGTAGATTATTCCTGAGTACTTATGGTGTGATCCCGCCTCACAGTTGTTTATAATGATTAACTCACAATTTTGTAATGGCGAGTGATCGGGGAGGGAGGGGATTTCTAGCAAAGAATAGATCGTTCTAATCACTTCTATTCGTGCTTTACTATTTGATCAGCTCGTCATTGTTACAGTTTCGAGTAACGAACTCTTAAATCAGTCCGAAATTTCTTCCTCTCCATGAAAGATGAGAAGGTCATGAAGATTTTATTTGTGTAACAGTGTGTGTGGCTTTGTCAGTCCGACTGGGTGAAGACGTTCCATAATTGTGATCCTGTATTGTGTTTTCACTAAGCGTAGTGCATTTCGGGAGCCTTTCCAGTCGTGTTATGTAGAAACTAGATGCCAAAGTGTGCTCTGACACCCACGGAGATGAGAAAATATGACGGTCAGTTAACGTGTGAATGGCCTTTTCCAATGAGGACATTGGCAAGTTTTTACGGAGTTCTCTTTGACTTAGATTTTAGGAAGCATCTAGCCTTGCGGAGTATTGTTGAATAAAAAGGCTGCTGTGGAGGCTGTGAACAGATATCAATGGAGACTGTAATAGCGCCACATGACTTCCGTGTATTGTGGTAATCGTGTATGCCTTGTGGGTGGCAAATAGCTTCAGCTATCCATAGTCCTGATGTTCAGATACTTTTCAAATTGGAGCAGCCAGAAGGTTTGGCCAGATGACAAATCTGTATACGGTTTGGTTAGTGAAAGGCTATGAATGCTTTGGTCCGACTGAGGCAGGAGCAGTACATGGGAATGGAAGTGGTAGTGGTCCGGCCAATGTGTAGACTGTTGTAGCTGCTATGGAGTATCTAAACATGGCTGTGAGTGCCCTGGCAACCACCGCGCACGCCCTAGTGGCGAGCGCCGACGCCTCCCTCTATCTACTCGTCTCCTCGGCCTCGCTCATGGTCAGTTTCATTCTTGTCTTCCGCAAGCGACGGGACCACGCCTCCCGGGGCGGCAGCGGCGGGGTGCCCTCACTCCGTGGGGCTCCTCCCTCAGGCCCCATGCCTGCGTCTGGCGGCCAATCAGCGTCCTCCTCAGTGTCGTCCACGCCATCAAAGACGCCGACAGGAGTGGCTGTACAGACATCACAGGGGGCACAGACCAGCCCAAAAGGCTCCAGAAAGGTCAGAAGTGGTGTTGTGTGTGTTTGTGTTTGTATTATTTCAAATTGTTTCTGATTATAAGTGTTTTACACTCTCCCCCCCCCCCTTTTCATCATTGGTAAAGTCTTTTTGGAGGCAGGCTTCTTGGACCCACCCTGACTGAGTGGGGGTACTCTTTTCATTTGCTGAAGGAATTGCTCTAATGCTACTAAGAACTTCGGCATACACTGTGTTCTTGTATGAGATTGATTTGGTACTTTTCCCTCCTTCTTTTCTTATTTTATCCTTACTCTAACTTGCGGAATAAATAATCCATCTTCAAAATGTTCTGTTTGTGTTTATAACAGTGTTAAACTCTTTCAAAAATAAACATTTTGTCAAAGTTCTTTAACTCATTCGCTATGTATTATTTTCGGCTTGTGGGCGAATTTTTTTCAGGAGGGCAAAATGAGACGATGACTAGTGCGCAGTTCACAGGTCTTTGGGGCCACAAATTCAAATAAATATCAACATATTATATACCAAAATTTTCTGTATGGTTTGTCAAATACATCTGTAATGTTTATTTGTGTATCTCTTCAACTTTGGCTCCTGTAAGAGGAGCAACGCAATTTTGATTGGATTCGGACAAAATTTGAAAATAGAAAATAAATAATCTTTGGTGAAACTCAAAAAATATGTTTGCACCTAGTCAAATGATACATCAAAATAACCATAAATGAACGTAGAACTGGAAAATAGTGAAAAATTTGCAGTTATTTACATACACTCCATAATATTTGTACATTTGAATTATAACATCCGATATTGAAAAAAAATATTAAATTTTATGATCTGGAAAAAAGGATCACAAACAGAAAAAAACACTCGTATCTTATATGGAATTATTCAGAATTGCATTTGGAATAAACCTATACATTTCTTGAGTGGCACTTTTTGTGTAATTTCATCAAAAATGAGTGATTTTGGGGAGAAAAATAATATTTTGACAATTTAGATCTAGACCTAGATCTAGCACTCAAAAATATTGATTTGTCAATAACAGTGCTTTGGCAATTTGAGTCCAATAGTATCAATATTATAAAGAAGAGTCCTGCATTTCTTTAGTGAGCAAAATAATGATACCTTTTGTTATGTAAAAGTACAAAGACTGGTGTCTGGGCTATAATTTTGGCATCACGATAAAACAAAGTTGCATAAACTATGAAATCGCGTTTCAAAACTGAATCTAAACTTCGGATTTTCGGTGGAAACGCTTGACCCAGAAGTCAATGTTACATTATAACCTTTATTTCAACATGGATACGTGGATTGGAATAAAATCTATGCTAGAATAAAAGGTCGGTGCTCGAGCCGTCGGGGGTGGCTTGATGTACGGAAGACACTTTCGCCGTGAGTTAAAGATTCCCATTTTCAGTGAGGCTTGGCAGGGTCTCTGGTGTGGTTTGCTCCTTTTTTCCTATCAAACATCCATCGTCCTTATCTCTCCTCCTTATTGGTGTTTGTTACTCTCTTATAACATTTCTAATCGTCGGCACTTATATTACCTTATTGTGTTGCAAGTGCCATAAAACTCTTATTAAAACGAAAGTGAGGCTTACATGAATTTGTGAAACATTATACATTTCTGCCTTTCTTTTTTTCTATGACAAACAACTACTGTTGGCCAGTCCCAGGGTGCCATGTTAATGATTCAGTAATGGTCTTTCCTGGACTGGGACCAACATTCCCCTTTGAGTACAACTCTTTCTCTGTATTGCAGCATCGCTACCAGCGTCAAGATTCAGCCTCCTCACACAGCAGTGCTGCACGCCTGGATGACGTGGGGGGCGTGAATGGGGAGCTGCGTCGACGCAGCAGTCAGACGTCCACGCAGAGTGAACAGCTTCCTTTCGCTGTCATCAACCGCAACGTGATGAGGCGAGACTCCTTTGAGATGCCCCAGAGGACCATCATCGATTCACCCCGCCCGTCGAGGTCAAGGTCCCTGCACAAGTCACCTAGCGATGGCAATGCGCCTCCCAAACAGGCTGTGTCTGGTGTTCTCCGAGGAGATGGTAAATGGCATCGCGGCCCCCTACCCCACTCAACGCAGCCCCCGCAAGTGACTGGTGGAGGACAGGAGAACTACGCTTTCCACCGGCAGGCCAGCTTCGATGCAGGCCATCCGCGCCAGATGACCCATGTCCCGTCTGACCCCTTGTTTCAGTCCCACCACCCTTACGCCTCCCTCCACCACCATCACCACCAGAGACAGGCTAGCCTACAAGAGGGGATGGTGGCTCGTCCCGGTCACGGCATGTCTGAGTCTCAACACAGCGCCTACACCAGTGACCTCGGATACGACCTCCGGGCTCACCAACAACAGTTCCCTGATTCCCGCCAGCCGGCAAGCTTCCACGATATGCGAGGAGCAGCCACGTCTGCTTCTAATGTTGGCCCTGACCCTTCAACATCCCTTTATCAAGCATACCCAGGGGACATGAGGAAAGGAAGTCTTACCGATTTCCGACATGCTGCAGCACCTGTGTATGCAGAAAGTCCATATCGTAAAGGTTCGGTGTCGGATGACAGCAGTAGTCACTACTCAGGTGACAGTGGCCCAATGTCTATGATGTACATACGAACAGATAATGCTGGGGGCACCGACACCCCACTGGGCCATGAACGATTGTACAGCCCAGAGCTGCGCGGCAGGGAGGAGTACTTAGCATTCAGCCAGGACATTGTGGGACAGCAAGGGCACGTCAGCCCCGCTCCTCACCAGGGAGCTGGGGGTAAGTCCAAGCGGTCATTCCCACGGACCAACCCCAACTATACGGGTCTGTCTCGCCGCAGTGAGGGCCAGTCTCCAGGGAGCTCCGGGATCTACAAGAAGATTGGCAGTCTGGACAGCCAGCACTCCGGGGGTAGCAGCTCGGGGGGCTATGACACGGCCGGCTACATTCTGGCTGGCAACGGCGGCATCGCGCAGTCCATGAGTGTGCAGACGTCCCAGTCTTTCTCAGACACCTATTCGGACAGCCAGAGTCCCCTAATGCCGCACCATGGAGGGGGCGGGGCTCCGGCCCACCACACCCAATACCATCACGCCAGAAGTGACAGTGATACCTCCCACTCCAGCTCGAGCCGTGCCCACCCAGCATATCAGGAAAGCCACTTGGTGCAGCAACAACAACAGCACCAGCAGAGAATGGACGCAGCCCAGGGCAGGCCAAGAGGTGACCTCTCTGACAGTCAGTCCTCTCAAGGATCTTCTCGGAATGTTCTGGACATGCGTTCATCTCAGGGCTCTTTGAAGAACCTTCAAGACGCTGCCAGCACTGGCCGAGCTTCACCGAGAGGACCGTCTCGAACAGATCAAAGCAAAGGTAAGTACAATGTTCAATCCACTATCCCTACTAAAAAAAATACCCAACTGCTATTTCTATACTAATTGATGAATGAGTTAATGAGGATTGTACTAAATAGGTTTAAGGTACTGTTCTGTTATTTCATTATCAAATACACACTAGCAGCTTCTCAGTTTTATGTAGCAGAAAAGGTTGCATCTTTAAAACACGTTGCATATTCTTGTACAGGGTATAATACGCATTGCACAAGTAGACTTTTCTCCCAAAATGTGACTGTTTTTACGTCTGTCCTCAGGAGCTCCATATTTGGAACATTCTGGAAGCCACATGCCCCAACGGTCAAACACGCTGACTGCTGATGACCAGGAGCCTGACTATGCCAACCTTCCCCCTGTCAACGGTCACTCCACCACCAGCACCAGCAGCAGCAGTAACAGCGGCAACAACAACACTCACAGCAGTGGTCACATCCTCCCTCCAGAGGTCAAAGGTCACATGTATCCTTCAGAGCCACCCAGGTTCACAACGTTTGGCGATGAAGACGACGACGACGATGATGACGATGATGATGACGACGACGATGATGACGAGGATTTCAACAAAGAAAATGTGCACATGAGAAAGGATAGCTACCCAGATTATGACAGTAAGTTTGCATCGTGGGTTGTCAAGCCACACTTACATCTGCGGATGGTTTATGGGTGCTCTGGTGTGGTTTGCTCCATTTTTGTGTTTGTTCCTCTCTTGTAACACTTCTAATCTTTAGCACTTATATGAGCTTAATAAGTTGCAAGTGCCATAAAGCGCTTGCTAAAGCAAAAAAAACAAAATTCTTACCTCTTGACTGTTTAAGAGTTCAGAGGTCTGGAAGTGAGAGATTTAAGTGCAGCTTTAGAACTCTTATGAAACTAAACTTTAGATAAGTGCTTTCAGAGGTAGACGTAAAATTTGGATGCCTCACCTCTTAACTCTTTCTTGACGTATCGCCGATATATCGGCACGAGGCCACTCCCCTTGTGGACGTATCACCGATAAATCGGCTATGATAGGGTGCCTCAGTTTTGTTTCGTTTTAACACGATCCATTATTTATAAGTACTTATTATTGTTATTGAAAACTTGGAAAGGGTTTAGGAAACGAGAACATCTAGATTCAATTTGTCAAAGCGTCGGTCTGGCGAAAAACGAGTGAATTAGTTCTTGCGGTCTTGCGTCTACAAAACGGTCTAACCGGACTCGGTATAAATATCATAATTCAAACAAAATATTGCATTCAAATAAAAAGCTGCACTTTCAGAAATTTATGCAGTCTGCTCTTGGCCTGTATATGATAAGATAGCTATGCTGATTCGCTTTCACATGTTTAGTGTGTGTAATTTTTTCCGTCAAAATGTATTTTTCTCACCTCACCACCATCGCCATTTCTAACCCTTGTAATGCATACTTATGTTCAAAATTAATCCTTGTTTCATGTTAGAATGTATTCCTTATTCAGTTTCCTTCAATTTGAGATATCATATGTTACATTTTGAGTCATGGTTATGCTTATATGAAGTTATTTTGGACATCACTTGTGTAACCAAATCGAGTCACAAGTTAATTACGTCTAGACCCCAAAACAACTGCGTCCGGAAAGAGTTAAGCAGCCTTACAGTGTTGAAACAGACTTAGATCCATACATATGTTACAACCCGTATATTGTCTTTTCTTGTGATAGTGCTCATTCTCACCTTAAAAAGTACATTTGAAGTCTGAATGAGACTCATGCATAAACATCTTATGGTACATAACCGATTTCTTACTGACCATTCTATTCTCTCTCTCTCTCTTTCTCTCAGGCGTCCCTGAGCTGGAATCAGACACTTCCAGCATCTTCTCAGCAACTCCTCGCAGCCAGGTCCAATCACAACCAATCAGCATCCCCGCCGGCATGGAGACACAACATGCCTCGCTGCGACGCAAGAAGGGAGACAAGTCTGATTCCAGCCCGGCAGAACGCAGCCAGTCACTGCAGGCTGACGTCACGGTCACCCCTAGGCCACTCAGTATGGTAGTGCCCTCGCAGTCGGATGCCAATATGGCTATGAGTCCATCCACGGGCTCTCTCAGTAGGGGGGTGAGTGATGTTGTCATGATACTAGTTTTTGCACGCTAGTTTGCACCTTGTTTGAGGTACATTTTGTGATGGGATTATAACAATCAGTGTTCATCATCATCATCATCTAATACCAAACGGTTTTTATTTTCTCTGTTTTCCTTCTCTTGATTATTTCTTTATCATATGATCAGAACAGTCAGATATGAGGTAAACTGTACATGATAATTCTCTTCTCACAATTTCTTAAGTCAGTTATGAAGTTGTTGAACAGGTTACCCCACGAACATTTCTATTTCATATTTTCACTTTTTACTATACAGTTCCTGGTTGCCTGAGACTAAGTATGGTAGGGGCAACAAATAATGGTGAAAACGAGATATTTTCAGTGGGGGGCTTTTTATTTTCTCAAAAGTGTCAAAAGTGAAGCTGGCAGTAAGAGAGAGAATGAGCATGATATGTGTTAAGAGACTCAGGAAAATCCATTAAAAAATACAAGAATCAATACTGGGGTAAACGGATCTATTCGTAAAATTCAAACTACGACATTTGACGTTTCATAAACCTTCATAATTATTCATCTAATGGTCAGGATAATTACCTGATGTTTTTTTAAAAGCCAAGAATTAGCGTAAGGTGGCAGAATGGACATAATGTCAAGAATGATTTGTGGGGAGTATGTGAAAGGTTTGTTGTGCCATCCCATGTTGTTGTTTTTTTTGTTTTTTGTTTTTTTACAAAACGACATTTTTACAATATGTTCATTCCTATTTTATCTGTCCTCCATGATATGTTCCCTCTACGGTGGCCCCAGAAGCTGGCCTCTGATGGAGACATGGAGCACTACAGTCAACACCTGAACAGGCACAAGAAGGGGCTTTTTGGCAAGAAAGTCTCTCTCAACAACATGCTGACCTGGTCAAAGGTCAGTCGTCATTTCTTCAATGTTTGTGTACTTGCATTGACCAAAAATGTACTCGTCTTATTAAATACATCTTTGCTGTTTACGACTTTTTTGTTGTGTGTACTTCTCTCTCTCTCTCTCTCTCTCTCTCTCTCTCTCTCTCTCT